CAGTCGATATAAGCTTCCTAACTTTTCTGTTTGCCAATATATCATTTTGTCTCCTTTGGCTTATTAATTATGAAAACTGTTTCCTGTTGTCTTTCATGGGAGGGGGATATTTTTCTTTTACACGGGCTAGCTTCTATAGGTCATATAAAATTTGGCATAGTTAGGTTTTTTTCTCTATTTCTTTTAGGAAACCATATTCTTGGTTTTGTTTTGTTATTGCTGTCTTGGAGACCTCTAATTTAATTTGTAGTGCTCTTGTTATTTGATGAACCAGGTAGCATTACCTAACCTGGCTAGTTACCCCTCAAACACAATCTGAAGTCTAGAAGGGACACAAGTTTCCCGGAACATACATGTGATGAATGTCCAGAGGTTAAAAATAGTTTCTAAATTATTAATCCAGATTAATGGAGATCAAGTCGTATTTAAAATGTTTTATCTTCTCATTTTTACTGTATGTTCACACAGCAATTACAAGAAGAGGCTGATGTACAAAATGTGTATGTATTTATACTGGGCGGGATTAAACTTAAGTGTAAACTAAAGAGAAAGGAAAAAAATGATAACATGTTATTTTCAGTATTTATATTGTGTCATCTCCCCTCCCACCCAATTCCTTCCATTGTATCCTAGATTAGAACCAAGTATTGTTACTATGGGTGTTTTTTTGTTTGTTTGTTTGCTTGTTAGATTTTTCTCCCCCCTCCCATCACCTACTTTCCTCTTGGGGAGAAAAGAAAATAATAAGGCGTATTATTTTAATCATCTTCCAGCATTCAGATGATGCAGTCATTTTGAAGAGAAAGAAAACTGTAACAGGCAGAATTTACACAGCAACGTATGGGCTTTTACCAGCAGTTGTCAGTGCTTGCTAACGACATTCTCCTGGTTGCTGGTATTAGGTAGCAGCAGGCCCATACTAGCAGCGTGCCGATGTCCCCAGCACAGCTGTATTTCTGCCATTCCCGCAGGTTTGTGTGCACCTGGGATCGGCCACACCCAGTTGGTATCAGTCAACAGTATATCATGCGGTGTGTTTTTTTAATTCACGATTTCCTCTTCAAACTAAACCAAAGAGTGTTAACTGTGTGTGTGTTTTTAAATTTAGTTTTGTATGCTAGCATTCTTTAAATGTCTGCCAGAAGTTTAATTTGAATTTCTGATCCCTGAAGGCAGCTAGACAGAATCATTCTAGTTCTTCATAAATTGCCTTCTATGATTCATTGTTAACTCATAAAACATACTCGTTTCTGTATACTCAAACAGTTAAGGCGGTTATAGTATCGGGGATATAATTTTTTTGGCATTATATTTAAATTGTCACTTCAGAAAGAAATCAAGAATTAGCTTGAACTCCCAGTTAAGGCAAGAGCCCTGCAGCACACAAAACATCAGAAATTCATGCTTTTATCTCAAGGAGGGTAAGGTAGATGGCCTGGAATCGAAAAAAAAAAAAAAAAAGTTTAGTTTTGACTGAGTAGTCTCAAAGAGGGGCCCATAAATACTAGGGCGATGTACTTAAAAACTCACATGACTGTTTTAAATACTATTGATTTAAACCACTGGCTGGATTTTATGAATCAAAGTGTAATTTCTAAGCTTTGGCCATATTTCTCAATGCTAAAGCACTCTCTCTTGTGTGCCTTTAGCTGCTTTCCAGACCTTCAACACAGGATTAAATGATAGTAGTTACAGTGATCAATAGGTTAAGACCGGTACAATCACTCTTGCCGCTAATGACCTCAGCAGTAATGGGCAATAAAGTGTGGGCTATAATAGCCTCGCGCTGGTACTGCATGCCCTTTGGTTCCTAGTATTAGTAGGGACTAGCTACATGAAAAAGTTGGACATTGGGAGTTAAGGGAGTGGATGTATAGGCTATAATTCTTAACTATTTAAAGCTTTAACGTGTGCTTAGATTTTTTTTTTTTTTTTTCTTTTCTACCCCACAATGGTTTCCTGTCCATTTGAACATGTTTGTTAAAGCTTTCTCCAAGCTCTTTTCATGACATGTTGGAGCAGAAACTTTGAGGAAATCTTGGTTTTATTACATTTATAAATTAAGCCTGAGCCCACTTTGGAGGCCCAGAGCTAACTGGTGTGAAAATGTGGTTTCAGATAGTAAAAGTAAAGTTAAGGCCATCAGGATATAATAACCCACTTCTGATTATTCTGAGGCCGATCATCCAGTTTGGAGAATTACTGGGGCTTCTTGCCTCTTTGCCTCCTTTGGCTGTGCGTGCTTCTTTAAGCATTTCATTATTCATCAGCACCTCCATCAAAATGTCCAAAGGGAAAAAAGGGGAAACTCAAGTTCATTTTCCTGTTCTGTAACAGAACTACAAAAAATGACTAACTAACTATGAGAAAGGGAGATTTAAACTACGTATTAGCTGTATGTAAGGGTTTACGCATTGTCTGTATTTGTCAGTCCTTGGTCCCCTTTTTTATTGAAAATTAAGGGACGGTGGTGTTTCTGATTTAAGAAGAGACACAATTTTACCAGAGTAAAATAAAAAACAACCCTACAAACTCTTTTCACATATTTTTTATACCTTTACAGTTATTTTTGTTGAGATGTAATTTACAGACAATAAAATGCACTCATCTTAATTGTGCAAAGAGAAGAGTTTTGACAGTTGTATAGATCCATGTGACTACCACCCCACTCAGGATATGGGACGTTTGCATCACCCCCAAAAGTTCTCTTACGTACCTTTCTAGCATGGACTTTCCACAGCTCTTTTAAAAATTGTGCGCAGGAGATTGCGTCTGTGATGCTATCTATTATACCTCTGTTAAATTTATGCTCATTACCAGCTTATACTTTACGCCACCCTATTCCTGTCTGTTTTCCTGTTCATCACTGTCAGAAATTTGGCTCAAGAATATTTATGTTGTACATAATCCAAGAAATGCAGAGGAAAAAAGAAACCTTAAACATGGTTCTTTTGTTTGCCTAATCAAACCTCCCGTCTGATGATGCAACTCTCAAGGAATAGTAAACTTCTCTTGTGACAGATTGGCTTTAGCAGCTCAAGAGATAGTGATTGGCACCCAACCCATATTTAAAAATTCAGAAAGTTTCTTCTATAGGAAGGACAGAGTAGACTAGTTGGAATTAATCTGTAGATGGTTAGGTGTTTTGATGATGTCTTCTTGGTGTTTGCCCTAGACTTAACACAAGTTCACTGTGCCAGTCCTTGGTGATATTTTGTGCTGCGAAGCATCTTTTTAAAAGGATAATTTATCCATCCATATACATCTGTCCCTTTTTGCATATAAAAATATCCAGACATGCCCATCTGTTTTAAATTACAGCATAGTTACATCTATCCTTAAAAGTCCACCGCAATAGGAGGAATTCGTTGATGACCTTCCAGAGCTGGGTTAATGAAATTTTTCAAGAGTTCTAGCCAGTGTTTTCTAAGCAATGCGAAACTTGCACATAAACATCCCTCCACACAAAACGTGCCCACAACAACAGTGGAGAATGTTCACTGTACGTGAATCTGACCTTCAGGAACCATTTTTAGTTCATCAAAATTAGTGATGCTGAGAAATCAGGACATCAGTGCATAATGACTGTGAAATTAGGAATGAGAGCTCGCTATGCAAATGACAGGACAAATCATGTGAAAAAGTCAAGATAAACTGCATATTAAGACATTATGTTACATAAAATTAATACTGCATTTCTCCCTTTTGCTTACTGCTCCCCTGAAAGATTTTTTAATTCTTTTATCTTCTGATCAGCTATTGTCTACCAGATTTTTTTTTTTAAAGTGGCACACAGGCAAAGTGCAAAACATGTTATTACCTTTTATTGTAATACATGAGATGACAGCCGATCCTTTTTAACAAAGTATATCCTTTACTGCTCCTAGCTTCTTGCTGTCACATGTTTGATTAGAAACCAAAGAAAAGTAAGATGCTTAAATATTACTATTAGAAGACATATGGGTTTTGTCTTTCATTGTTTTTTCTTTCCTTATCTTTTTTTGGGGGGGGTGATTTTTCATGAAATAGTCTTCTTGCATTACGGGGACTGACAAAATGGTTCTCATGTAGTCTGGAAATTAAACACAAGTGCAGTGATTATTTTGAATAGCTAAATTACATTCTAGAAAGCTTGCAGAATTCATAGCATTGTTATTAGGTATCCGCTTGAATACAATTTGTGTAACCTTGGCCAAGACAGCCTGTCATTTTAATGTCAGTGTTTTATCTGAACAAGACATCATCCTTTCAGATAGAGAGTGCAGGTTCCTTGCAGAGATGCCCGTGCAGAAACGTGTTAACTGTTGCAAATATGAAGTGCTATCAAGTTCATCACTGTAGCTGTTTGTCACTGAAATGTCATGGAAAGTGGCTTTTAATGGTATCGCATGTAATATGAAAGAATCGAGACGTCTGTATGCTAAGTGAATAAGGAAGGGTAAAAGACATCATAGGAAGGGTCTGTGTTTAAGTTCGGAAGGTGTGACCAAGGTTCATTTGTCCGTGAGACTAAGCGTTCATTGATTGTTCTCAAAATCACTGTGCACGGAGGTAGCGGATTGTATTGGCTCCAGTTGTGGAAGTATCAGTTCCCATTTGCCTTCTTCCACAAAACAAAATGTAAGTTTGGATTAACTTCTGCAGCTCATTTTGACCGAAGCCTCATTCTTAATAAGAAGTTGAGATTGTTCTAACTCCAGATAGCATTTACTAGGCTTTTGCTACTTGTCTGCTTGCAGGACGGCCTGGAATACCTGTTAGTGCTGCCAGGGTTTTTTTTTTTTTGTTTTCTTTTTTAACCCCTTTTCTTTCTGTTATTTAAAATAAACTCCATAATAGATTAAATAGGATTTGTTGCTGCATCCCCTCTGGATAAATGCATTTTGTGTGGGGAATTGGTAAATTCATGAAGCAGGCTGGGGACAGCCTGGTGCCTGAACCTGCAAGGCTGCGTGCGTGAGATTTCCTGGCTTCCTATTTATCCTTCATTAACGTTCTAGGTTCCCGTGTCAGTGGCTATGATGACACCTCAAGTTATCACTCCCCAGCAAATGCAGCAGATCCTCCAGCAACAAGTGCTGAGTCCTCAGCAGCTCCAGGTTCTCCTCCAGCAGCAGCAGGCCCTCATGCTTCAACAGGTAACTGTCCCTCCTCCTCCAGCATCCCGCACAACCCAAGGCCCATCACTCCATACAGAATCCCCCGCCATGGAGCCGCCCTTATTCCCATTGAAGAGCAAGCATGGTAGGGTGGGTGGGGCAAGTCACAGACTGGTCCTCAAGTAATGGATTACATTCGCATCCCTGAAATAAAGGAGCCCAACAAAGTGAGTAGGGTTTGGGCCTGGAGAGGACCCGATGGACTGAGATTAGGGCTGTAATTGGACTTGGTACAAATAAGGTCTTTTAGGCTTACGTGGCTTTACACTCTTTTATTTGGTAAGGCCAGAGACTTGCAAATGGTGTGAATCAAAGCAAAACGAGGAGCACGCTGGGAAGAGGTTTAACTATGACAGATCTTGAAGTCCCCATTTCAACTCAGAAGCTTACAGAGTTTTTGGTAGTTTTTTTTCTTTCCCCCTCAACATAAAGAAACATTTTGGAGTTGGTTAATTTTAAGGCACAGAGTTGATTTACTTCTTCCATGCATGCTGATGCTGGAATGAACTGGCTGTCATGGTGCCGTGGGGCCCTACTATGCAGACTTAATGGGCACCTGAACCAGAAAGAGGAGATTCAGTGCGATGGTGGTGGCAGTTGCTGGGATGGGGTGGTGGGGGCAGCATGTGGAGGAAGCAACTCACGATGTTGATGCGCACACGGAACAACACTCCATACTGCCCAACCCTATCATTTAGAAAGCCTGCGTACTTCTCTCAGTAGAGATTCACCAGACTCTCTCAGCAAGGGCAGTTTGGCTTTGTTGTTACAATCAAAGGTCATTCCTTGCCTTATTTTAATTAGTTTGTGTAGAAAATGGTATGTTTCTCATCAGTTCATTTTGGAGATTACTTTTCAAACAATAATGCCAAGTGTAGTCAGTTGTGCGTGAATTTATTGTCGAGTTTCAAACTAAAGGTCAGGCTATTGCAGATAAAAGGATGTTATTTTTCAATCACCGTTTGTGTATGGCACTGAAAGGGGACAGTGGATTGACACTACCCTCTTACTTACTGTCCTCTCTTTCCTTTGTAGCAGCAGCTTCAAGAGTTTTATAAAAAACAACAGGAACAGTTGCAGCTTCAACTTTTACAACAACAACATGCTGGAAAACAGCCTAAAGAGGTACCGACAATACATATTTTACTTTCAAACCACAGATCCCAGAGGACTATCTAGTGGCTATTAAACTGTCATTCATCTTTTAAATGATTGCACAACTCAGCTGACTCTATCGGTTCTCAGCTTTCAGACGGAGAGTTATTGTCCTGTTTTTGCTCAGATTTTTCTGGGTTCCATTTGCTCGCTGCCACATATTTTATAACACTGCCGCACGTGTACCATGTGTGAGCACGGGGCGAGGGATCATGGACAGGACCTTCAGTACTACTTTTGCAAACTGGACAACTGAGAGTCAGGATGTACCTGGAGGAAAGTGAAGTGCTTTTACTACAATTTTACTTGGATACACACTCAAATTTTTTCCCCCCAGTTTAGAGAGTATGGGTGTGTGGTGATGGCCTCTTCCATTGGACAGATAATCTCTTGTAAAGTTGGACAAACAAATACAAAAGTTAGAACAGGATTAAACACCCCCATCTTTTTTTTTTTTAAGCATCTTGCAAGTTGTACGTATCGTAATGACTAAAAGCATATATCAGATAGCATGAACTAAAGTTAGAGAAGAGTCAAGCTTGGATCATTTGTGTTTTTCTGAGGAAAAAAATAGTGTATAATAATCGAATGCGCACAATACTTTGTAGTTTCCGTAAGTTATTGTATTGTGCTGTGTCACCCAGTTAGATGAGAGCATTAGCCCCATAAACGATAAATCCCGGGAGTGTTTCCGCTTCACCTTCTTTACAATTTCTTGCATGTAGATGAGGCCCAGTCAGTTGTGTAAGTATTTATGTACCATGTATGCATTAATCTGACATCTTTCTCCCCATTCCAAACTTATCCGATGTAACTTGCCTCCTCACATTTGTACAGTGGACTGGATTTCTTTCCATCTGATTGTTCTTCTTGGAATGACACAATTAATAATTCGATAAATGATACATAATTGTTTCTTCACCAGCCTTCAGCAGGCAGCACTCCTGTTAGTTCTGAGAAGGAGTCTAACCAGAACACTCTCCGCATCCCCATCCCTCACATAAACGTGGATTCCAGGCAGCGTAATGATACACACTGGGAATGACCCAAGGCTCTCCCTTGCCAGCTCGTCTCCCAACACAAATTGGGTGCATTTTCCATGCCCTGCCAAGTTTTCACCCTGGAGTCCAGCGTAGCAGCCTGGGTGGAAACCCCTGCAGAGTAGGGGCAGTTTTGGGGTGAAGGGGAGGAGGCGTTTTAATGAAAATGCTGACACAACCGTAAGTACAGTGGCGCGCTCCCGGGTGCTGCTATAATAAAAAAGGGAACAGATTAAAAAGTGTCTAAAATGTAAATCTACAGGACTAACAGTAATTAAAATGGAAATGGCACAGGGAGGGAAGGCATGTAATTGTGAGATATCAGTGTGCAGAAGGCTCTCAGCTTTGTTTTGCTGGCTGTTTTTCTAATTCAGCAGGGCTTACTCATCAGTGGCAGTTCAATGCGCGTTAATGACTCTGGGATTGCAGGCATCACTCTGGACAAAGAAATGATTATTGTGCGGTCAAAAGAAGTTCAAAGACAAGAAGGGAATTTCAGTTTTTTCCTTAGAGATCCACATTCAAGAGCATATAAATTAAGCCAAATGTTAAAAACCACAGTCTGAAAGCTGACTTCAAAGTCACAACTCTCTAATTAATGAACTGCGAGCTTCAGTTTGGACAAGTTGTGGTTTGATGCACCCATAAATCAACATGACAGGCCTGTTTCACAGTCTCAGACGGTGCTTGTCATTGAGTCACATCAGATGTAAACACAGCAGAAAAAAGAAGGGATATGAAGGAGGTGCAGTTGATCAACAGAATTGGTAAAAACCCACTTTTGAAGCGCATTATGCATGATCACAGGAAATGGTTACAGCCTCAAGAGGTTTCCCCTTCTGCTGTTGCTTTTTTGAATCAGGTTTCTAACAGCCTTCAAAAGGGAAAATAAGAATTATGGAGTTTCTCCCCTGTGGCTCGCAGGCAATAACCCCCTGTTGTTATTTTGTGCTTCTTTCTTTTCAAAGGCATCAAAATTTAGTTTTTTAAAGATCTTTAACTCTATATTTGAAGACAAACAAAAAAGGGCTGCCACTGTCATTCTTATCAGTTACCAGGGATTGTGTTCTTCCTTTCTGTTGCCACTTCTTATTAACCTCTTATTTGGTCTGTTAGACACAGTTTGGAATGCACGTCTGCATGCTGGGAGAACATGAAGGTTCAGATGAGCTCAGAGGGCAGCTAAAAAAATGGGAAGGGGAAAGTTACACAGCAGAAGGAAGGATAAAAGTTAACTCCCCCAAATTGCTGTTGTCAGGAAGGGGAGCATCTCAGGAACACAAAGATGATGGAGGTGTCTGAGCTTGGGAAGGGGGCGGGGGAGAAAAGGGAGTACTTTGTGTCTGACCGAGGAGAAAATGCGACATTGTGGTAGCATGTCAATGTCTTCCAGCACCAGGTTTGCTGTGGTCACGCTTTGTCATCCATGTCGTAGGCAGAGGTGACACAATGTGTTGCATTGAATATACTTAGAAGTAGGCAGGCCAGCAGATGGGTCTCCTTGGAGTTCACTGTGTGTACCTTGTGCCAGTAGGTTTGCCTGAGACCTGTTGTAACAATGGCTAGAAAATCCTTATTTTCCTGAGTTAAGGGGGCAGTCTCCTGAAATTATCATGCAGGTGGTAGCCCTTTTGTGCTAAAATGAAATAGAGTCACATGGTATCAATTTCACGATGTGGACTGGTGGTTATGATTTTAGCAAGGTTTGAGCCTGGATGTTGACAGATGGAACAAGTGTATTAATTTACTGAATCCCCCAGTCATTAGTGGCTCATAATTTTGTATCACCAGGTTTCTTCCCCCTTCCTCTTCTTTCCTTTTTGATTACCTCCACAGTAAGATACTGAATCCTTGACCAGAACAATATACCTTTGCTGTTGTTTTCCCTGAAGTTGCATCGAGATGTTTCCTTGAGAAAGTTTGGCCCCACATTGATTGAGTTAGACCTAAAACCTTCCTTAGAAGATAGATGTTCTTGTACTAGGAGGGTCATATAGCCCAGTACAGCTATTGAAGTAACTGCTCGTTAATATTTGACAGAACTGGTGTGGAAAATAGCTGGCAGAATTAATTTTAAATCAGGCGACGAGAAAGTTCTCATCCTGTGCGGGTGAGCTAGACTAAGTTGATTGTTTTAAAAGGGCCGTTTGTCCCGAGCAGTTATGACAGTTTATGTTAGGCAGTAGGGAGTAGCCGAAGAAAGGAAAACAGACCTTTGACTTTAGCTCTAGGGAGGGGATCCGAAATGCAGGGTTTATCGGGCATTTTAGCATTTTAACACTGACGACTGACCTGTCGAGGGGACTGCACAGAGACCTTTTTTGTATGCATTCAATTGTGAGAAGTAAACAAACGGGCTCGTATCCTGTGTTTGGTAACTGGGTGGGGAGCACAGTTTGGCAACCAGTGTTGCTTTTAAATTCTTTCTTTGGACAATGGGCCTTGTATACTTTTATATCCTGGCTTTTCAAACGTGGAGCGCTTTCATGAGCTTTTCCTAGGGATGGCTGCAGAGACAACAGAAAAGGCATCAGTCATTTTATATAAATACAGGATTTTTAAACATTTCATTTACAGTAAGACAGGAAACACCCTTCCCAACCTGGAGCACTCCCCCCCCCCCTTATATTCTACTTCAAGAAGCGCTAATTCCCCAATCTTTTATGTCAGTGTTGTTTTTTTTCTCTTCCTTCCTTTTTTTAAAAAAATGTGAATTAATATCTGTTGAAGAACTGAAAAAATCATTTTGACATGAATATAACTATCGTTGGGTTTTACATTAATGTGATAACTTGGGAAGGGGTGAAAACAATTGGATCATTTTATGCATGCTGTTCTTCAAATGAAAACACTGGCTTTTCATTTAAATTTATTTAAATTTTTGTTGTTAGTGGTATAGAATTTGTTTTTTGGAGTGAAACTCAATTAACTTTCTCAGTGGCACGGTAGTAAGTCTGAAATTGGTTGCTAATACGAGAATGATGGTTTTTACTGTAAAATAAACTCCATGGAGATCGAAAGGAAACCACCATTTTTCTCTTCCTTTGAACTTGGCGTCAGAAGGTCTTGATATACATACCATTTTATGAATGTATCAGATAAGGTCGTGCGTTAGGTCAAGTGAGTGCAGTTGTTTGTAAAGTATAGTTATTAAACCAGTGCATAATGCTCTGAAAGGGTTGGATAGTCTTTTTCCTTGCTAAAGTCTCTCTGATATTTTGAATGATTCTCAGAATTAGGAAAGCTGCTCTTGTTCTTTTCTTGAAGAACCTTTTTTTTTTTGGCTACGGTTTGGGAAGGGTTAATTTTCCTTTTCATAATTGTTAGCCATAATGTGGCTAAGACCTCCACCTCGATATGATTCCTAGCAGATTAAGGATATTAGATAATTTCCTTCTATTTATTGTACTACTGCACTGTATTATCTTTCTATCACTCAGATAATTACTAAGGAAATCTACATTAATTTTTTTTGGCTGGAGCAAGGCCTGCTAAACACAGGCATGATGTATTGATGTTTTACACAACAAAAGTTTTCCTCCTGTCATTGTCCAGTCAACAAAAAGATATTTATCATATGGCAAAGCCCTTCTTTTCAAGAACAAAGCGGGTGGAGGGAAGCAAGACCAGCCACCAGACCTAGGGGTTTCTGATACTAAAGCCAAGTTAAGGCATCTGAAGCTGAAAGTCGCGTTCGAATTAAACAGTCCCAGTCAAGTAAGATGTTGTTTGCTAAATTATGAATGTGTGTAATTAAAATCTAGTGGCTGTTTCTATGAAAGATTTACAATGTTATTTCATCGTTTGTCATGGCTAATTAACAATATTAGATGAAGTTTTTCTTCTTCAAAGGTCTGATTTTTTCTCATTTATTTATGTCAGAAGTGATAAACACAGTAGTTAAAAGCCTCTGCCGGTGCAGGCAGGAGGAAGGCAGCTTGTTCTTTTACACCTGGAAGGTTCAGGGTTCAAATCCCTCCAGACTAGAGTAACGCCGACTTCTTTCTAGCATGAATAATTACAACTTTCCAAGTCCGGAAGTTCACATCTTGACTAAAAAACTCAGCCTTTTCACACTGTAGGGACAGCTGGCTTGATTAAAGAATTATTTCTCAGAGCAGTCACCTCCTCACCCCCTCACTCTTCTTCATAGGTGAAACGGTCTGTCCCTACTAAACTAGTGACCATTCTCAGTTCTTGACGATGACGGTGAGTTTGTAAACATCCATACGTTTCATTTACCTTGGAAAGTGGTCATCTCATTTTTTTTTTTCTTCCTGATTTCTTACAGCAACAGCAGGTGGCTACCCAGCAGTTGGCTTTTCAACAGCAGCTTTTACAGATGCAGCAGTTACAGCAGCAACACCTCCTGTCTTTGCAACGCCAAGGCCTTCTAACAATTCAGCCCGGGCAGCCTGCCCTTCCCCTCCAACCTATTGCTCAAGGTATGTGCTGATTATCCAGAAGGCACAGCTATGTTAGACTTTGGGCAGGGGTCGGCAGGGTCTCCTGGTATACTCCAGCTCATCATTAAGGAAATCGTCCATCTAAAACATGCATATGGAAACTTTAATAATAAGCTTAATGAGGTCATGTTGGACCATGGAAAAGTGCAAGTACTTGTTGATGCCCAGATGAAGACTTAGGTGGTCTGAAGGCTTAGCAGTAGCAGAGAGATCCCACTGTTGTACATATCTTGGAGTAAGGGAATGAAATGCTACTAAGTACTTATTGGGCATTTTAATTGAACCTTCTAGCATTTTCAGTTTGGAGTCATATATGAATTTTCTTAAATGCTTTTTATTAGTCATTCTAAGACATACTTTATATCATGTAACTTGTTCTATTTTAAACCTTAGTAGTATTTTGTAAATACCTTTTTTTTAATATCTAAGGAGAAATTTGGTTTTCTATAAGCCGTTAAAATCGATCTTTTTTTGTTACAAAAGCCAGAGTTGTGGGGGTTTTTTGCTTGTTGGTTGGTTGATTGTCTTTCTTTTTGCATTCTTTTTTTTTAAAGAAAGACTTGACTGTTGATATTTGAGCAAGTTAATTCTACACTCATCAGAACAGGAACCATTTCCATCCCTAGTTCTTAAAAAACTGGGGTTCTTTGGAAAGTAACAAAATGTTACGGACTTTAGTGCGACTTACTTTTAAAAAACAGTTGACATTTGATTCCGGGGGTGTTGGACATCAGGAACAAATGGGAATTGGAGCTGTTTTTAGGAAGTCCTCTTGATTCAAGGGCTTCTAACTTTCACACGTGTGATGTGAAAGCAGATGAGTTATTCAGAACTAGAAAGAAGAGAGAGAAGGAAGTGGCATGCATGCCTGTGTTGTAAAATACAATTTCCCATCCTTACGTGGTATAGAGGATTATAGTTGCCTCCTCAAGGTCCCCAAGCCCTTTCAGTTCTAATAAATTTGGACGTGTGTATTTGTGTGCTTTAAATGCCGATAGGTGAAGCCTTTGGTGTCTTGGATTCAGTTGCCTTCTGAAAAAGGTTGAAAATGCAGAACCTCCTCCACCCTTAGTGTTGCTTCAGAGATGGTCATTTATATATTAATTTTGGTGTAAAGTGGATCCAGTGAGGCATGTCTGCATTTGAATGTTCTCTGTTGCACCAGCCACGCCCAGCTTCTGTCCCTTCTGGGTTTTTTTGATGTCATTGTTTGTTTGTTTTGTTTTTTAATGTTGAGACCGGGACTTTTTCCCCACTTAACCTTCGCTCTTGCCCCTCCTCTCATTTCTGCCGTTATTGCTCAAATGCTTGATATGTAACCAGCATCTCCTCCATTGCCGTCAGAGTAGATTTTGTAACCCAGTAATGCAAGCAAAAGAAAGGACACAGTCAGCTACTGCATCTTTGTGCTTGCAAAATGTTTTATCATGCATTAATTACACCTTCGGGTTTATTGTTGGAAACATTTCAGGCTGTTCTGACACACCCACTGGACTCAAGCTTAACCTCTCTCATCTTTTCCCACTGCTCCTATAGTATTAAGTTTGCTCACTAAGGTTCGTTGTTATAGTACATCAGTTAAGCTGTCCAAAAGAGGGCAATTGGGCAGTGACAAGACAAGCTCATGTGTAATGTGAAAGAAATGAATGTGGTGATGCATGGAGTGTAATCTCTGCAGTAACATATCAGTGACACTGGTAGATAATTCACTAGTCATGGCATTGATTGATACGCTTAGCAAGTCTGCTGTAACAGCCCCGCAACATTAGGAAGAAGCATATTTAAAATACAAGGAGTGCCTATATGCATGCCCGAGATCGCATAAACGTAAATACAAAGGTTTCTGGAGGAAGATTCTTGCAGTGAAATGAACTACCTGTGTCATTGCCATCTCTTGTGGATCTGGAGATTGGTTTTATCCACCCACTCCATGCGCAGAGTGGCCTGAGAATTCAGTCATGTTGGACTACAACATGATTTTTTTTTTTTTTATCAGAGAGATGATGGTATAAAACTGATGTCATTATGAGGTTTAAATCAACTTTCTGCTTGCTTGAACATGGTCACCTGGGTATGGATGTACAAGGACAAAAAAAGGTTGATCAACTCAGTTTGTCTTTGAGCCAGTGATACCTGGGTTGTAAAATTGAGTTCCATGAGCAGTAATCTGTCAACTGTCCCCACAACATACATTTTTTAAGCCTGTGCCTGCATTTTCTTTTCTAATGAAGGGGCCAGTTGTCCTGGAAAACGAAATGTTGCAAGGCACAAGGGTTATGCCTTTATGAAGCTGGTAATGCTTGCTTTATAATAAAATTATTGGATTCTTTTACATACCTGCTCATAGCCTTGGCTAAGTTACCTTAAATATGTATGAAAATGTCAGAATAGAGGAATAGATAGAGAAAAGAGTATTATTTTGAAGGCCTTTATTTTTCCTGAAGGTTTTATATTAAGAATGGAAGGATTTTTTTGTTCAGGGTATAGTAGGGGGCTTCTCTCTGTTTTACATAATTAGCATACCTGTTTTTCTCCCTAGTCTCTTTAATCATCGGACCTCTCCAGCACCAGTAATTTCATATAGAAATGTACTTTGAATATCATTCTGGACTTTCAATTTTTAAAGTGTAAATCATCGATAGGAGAAAATTACCTTTTTGATTATGTCCCTGCTAATAGATTTGTCAAACTTGGTACTATTACTCTTAACTCTGCCATTTTGGAAGAAGTGCTTGCTTTCTGGAAATTTGATATCCATTTAGTCTGAGTGACTAGCTTCCCTTTTATCTGTCTTAATTCTATCATGAGATCTTGGCTGTCAAATAACAGCATCCTTCGGTAGATAGTACTCATATGAACTAAGAGCTTAACATCACTAACAAGGCATAGCAGTGATGGAGAGAGCGATTTGACTGACGGGCTCTCTGTAAGTGGGATGAGAAGGTTCTTAAAGGTAATTATCACATTGAAATTTGACCCAGAAGTACCTCTGTTGTCACTCAGTGAGTTCTGCTTTATTTACCATTTCTCCCTATATATGATAAAATGGACTGGCTAGCCCATTGGACTAAAAAGAAAGTGGGGTAATGTTAATGTACTCTGTAGATGTAACAAGTGGTGAATACATTTCTTTTTTTTTTTTTTTTAATCTGCTGGATAAACAGCTTTCTTAAAACAACTTCAAAGTCCTGCCATTCTCAGAGGGAAAGTGTTAACACAGTTGTTACAACCGTAGTCCTCCTGTCTTCCCACCTCCCATGCAGCTGACCCAGAAATCAATTAGTTTGAGTTGAAAAACAGGCAGCTTGTTCTTTTCACATAGTTGCTCCCTAGAAAATAAAAATAGGTGTCGATTTGTGTGGTTTTATATCAGTATGCTATCATCAACAGACGACACACCTATCCACTATTGTTTCAATTGAGTAAACAGTGGTCCAAGGGTCAGCCTCATTCACAGGTAATTGTTGGTGTGCAGACAACCCTGGCAGGCCTCTTAGCTCCAAACACAACCCGCATGTCACTTCACAGGGTGTTTGAAAATAATAGCCCAGGTGCAGCAAAACCGGACACAGGATTGTGTAGTGACCTTTCCTTTTGTGTTTAATTTGCCTCCAAGGTCTCATTTCAGGGGACAAGTAATAATTGAATATGCCTAATAACTAAATGCTCATTTGGGACAAAATCCATCAAAATGTAATTGGCATTTGATTTTTATGAAGGGAGAAGAAACCCAACTTGGTTATGAGGAATGCATTCTAAGACTATCTGACCACTTAATGTATCATCTGAAGCCTCCTTTAAATATACATTAATTGCAAATACTTGAGCGTTTGGACTTTTTCGAGAACTGTGAGGGAGAGGCCTACTGTTTTTGTTAACGCTACTCTCAGAAAGGCGGGGAAGGTTATTGGTCTGCTGTGCAATAATTTACTCCTCTTTGATATGCAAACGATCCACGGTGAATATAAAAAAATCCTATCAGACTCATTTCACAGTTCTTAACCACTCGGATTCTCTGGAGTCCATCGCCTCATTAGACCAATGCTCTCCAATGCTAGCATAATTAAAATCTTTAACAGTTTAGCAAAGTAAAGATGTTTGGCTGATCACGTTGAGATGATTATCTATCCATTGTATTCTAAATGACAAAAATAAATTAAATTTAGACCTTGGCATTTTTTATTATGTGTTTCAAATGAATATAATGCACACAGCCTTCTTTTTAAATTCAATACCTGAGGTTTCTTAAGAAACATGCCTGTTTCAGCTGCTGCTATATAGTCAGAAAATGGCAGGCTTTCTAGGATAGCCATGTTACAGTTGATTGAAACAATGAACTGCAATCCAGACGTCCAGTTGTAACGCGGGATTGCTTTATGATGTACAGGGTTTATGATTTTTGTAGGTGTCCTTTCAAAAGAAGCTGCTGTTGTTTTGTTTTGTTGTTGTTGGTAGCCATTAAGAATGTTTTTCTTCTGTGCATGGATGCTCTAGAATATGCATTAAGGTAGGAGTTGGAAATCCTGGACTGTAGAGGGATGCCCCCCAGAATAAAGGTTAAGAGGCTCACAATAATGAGATTGGCATCCTGATTATATCTCTTCTTGGGGAAATAACAGGTTTACACTTAATCCTTAAAGTACACGTCCATTTTGACCCCCTGAAAACACAAGAGAACTTTATTACTCCAAGTTTATTTTACGTTTTTGTTTTGTTCTGAAATGGTTCATTAGCACTGATCTAAGAAATGACAGTAATAATAGTGTTACTTATATAAAAAGTTACACAGCTTTTCAGTAGACACATCCATCAATTAAGTGTGCGGTACTAGAAACCAAAATTAATGAGGAAGATAGGTGTGTTAATGAAATAATCATAGTATAATCAATTTGACTGTTAAAAGTTGAAAAGCACTTCAGGAAGACGATAGGAATTCATAATTTATGTCTAAAAGTGATTAATAAAAACTATATTTAATAACAAAGCTATTTGTCATCATTTAAGGCTTAAGCACAAAAATCATTCATTTTGTGGTTCGTGTTGTCATAATAGTATAGTTGAACAAATTTATTTTGAGTCCTTTGTGTCTAAAAATAAGATACCACCTATCTACTTTTTTTTTTTTTCCAAAAGTTGAGAGCCAACAGTTTGGATGCAAAGTAACTGCATTTGAATCCTTTTCTTGAGTGTATTTCATGTGTGATAAGGGCACTTCAGCTCGGCTGCTCACTAGGAGGACACGGTTGTTTATTACCGTATTTGCCTTAGTTGGGAGGGGGAATAAAAAACTGCACACAAAAAAAACCCCCTAACACTAGGCTTTGTTTACTGACTCTTTGATTTAATTACTGTTTGAAGAGGACGGAATTAGCTGTTAATTGATTTAATTATCCAATTTGTTTGTTTCAGGCATGATTCCAACAGAACTGCAGCAGCTCTGGAAAGAAGTGACAAGTGCTCATAGTGCAGAAGAAACCACAGGCAACAATCACAGCAGTTTGGATCTGACCACGACATGTGTGTCTTCCTCTGCACCTTCCAAGACCTCCTTAATAATAAACCCACATGCCTCTACAAATGGACAGCTCTCCGTCCACACTCCCAAGAGGGAAAGGTAAGAACCAGGCACTGTGATGTGTCCAAAGCTGTTTTTAACATGGGAGGGATGGGGTGCCTTGCCTCTCCATATCTCGGTGATTCCTAATTGGATACATGTGACTTGAATGTGCATATAATTACTTAAGAGTTTATTATATAGTTTGGGTGTGAAGCATCTAATTATTTTCACCATTTCAAAGTGGAATTAGCACTAGTGTAGAGCTTACCCTATGCTTAGGAACCCAGGCAGCAGTCTTTTCTCACTGGATGGATTGGATTTCAAGGCTTCCAGACCTACTCTTTCTTCCAAATGCTCACTCCATACAAGCTGAATTCCTTGGCTGTAAATGCCTTTAAAGGGAACAGTAGTGTCTGCTGTGGACAATTCTGATTGACACTTCAAGAAAAGATAGAACTTGCACTACTCTACAGTGCTCTCCTTGAAGGCAAGGAGCTCATCTTTTTCTTGGTTGTGTCTCCAAAGCACATGGCCCTTTAGACACTCAGGAAAGGTCTAAAGGATGGAGAGATGGAACAGATGGAACACAGCACACCTTCTCCTGATCTTGGGATATATTGTAGCGTTGTCTCAACTGATCATGGGATATAATGGGATACATTGTAGCATTGTCTCAACTGCTGTATTCCTGTTTGGAAGCTAAGACTTTTTTTTAAATTGCCCTGAGCATCACATGAACATTATTTGAAGCTGAGGTTGTTGTAAAGCTCCAGGATACATAATGTTAGCATGGTGTTCTAAGAAAATGAAGCTGTTGATGCCATGCTATACATCTTAGCATCCAGAAGCATTAATACTGCTGGTGAAATGTATTTCAAAAGTGAAATATGTGATGGTCCTAAAATTGAAAACTTTTTATTTTCAGTTTGCTTATTTTTACTTTCTGTCCTATATATTTCATATATAGAGCTTCTACAAACAGGAGAAGAAACCTTAAAAGTGGTATGTAGTAGTAAACGTGATTCCGTCAGGGAAAAAGGCAAACTCTGTATTTTGTTTTTTAATAAAGATGACTTGGAAAAATTTTTATTATATGTTTCAGGTAAGCAGTCACAAATACAATTTCTCAAAAATATTGAGCATTAAGAAGTCCAGTGGTTTAATAAGATGTGTACCTTTATACCTGTAAAATCTTATCTAGAGATCAGTAATCACATGAAATATTATCTGAAGAAAAAAAATGTATATATATACGTACATAATACATATATGCACAGTGAAACCTGTGAGAGCCGGCACTCTACGGGACTGCCTTGTTTTTCTGGCTCTTGAAAGTTTTCCACCTTTGACAGGGTGCAGTCTTAACCACTTTTCTCTTGCCTATTTTAGTGGAAAATATTTGAGTTTTCCTTCTCTGACAGGTTTCCTCCTTACACAGTTTCCAACTTTCTCAAGTTTTACTCTGTGTGTGTGTTTATACACATACGTCTATATACGTACACACACACACCACATTTAAGTATAAAACCATGAGAAGTTTCCAGAGAAAAGGGTAATATATTGTTTTAACCAAAATTAACTACCCTTTGAAGGTAGTTTAGGAACTTCTGTGGCAGACCTAAGAAGAACTCAGAGGTGCTTTAAAAATATCGGTTAAGCTGAATTTGAAGAAGAGAACGGTGGACAGTAGAACTCAGTTTGGCGCCATTGGGTAAAATAATGGCTTCTGTTGTTCCCAGTAAGGAGAGATACATATGTCTGGAGATCAGTCTTAGCTTTTGCTCTATAATCTCTTATGTTGTCTTTGTCTTTTTTTTTTTTTTTTTTTCCCCAAAATAGAAAACCTTAAATAGCTTGAAAGGACAGGTCCTAGGCTGTTCTTTGCTGTACTTGCTTTTGATGTCCTAAGGTTGGTGCCATCCATTTACTGCAGAGTGATTGAATTACGTCTTTATCCATAGGCAGAGCAGGGACCACAGGCTGAAAAATGCTGACTGATGCACTTAAGGTATTTGTTGCAATCTTGCCGGTCATTGTGGAGCCTGCACAGATTTCCTGTGACACAGAAAACTCTTCTTGTTTAGATGCGCTGTGCTCAGTTTCATTCTAAAAGGATATATATCTACAGTCAGGTGGTAGATTAGCAATGAGGCAAGTGGAAGAAGAATAGTCCTTTTCATGTCTTAAGGCACTTTTGAATGTAAATGGATCTAAGAGACAGTCTAATTCTAGAAGACTAAGTTTTTTTGATTTTTTTTTTTTAATGGTCCTTATTTGTCTACATAAAAGTCAGGCTTACTCTTTGTTACACTACATGTCAAAATTAGAATGTGAGTCAGAAAAGAATTCAGATTCCAATGATCCTTACTCCACCTGGATGTAAAAACAGACTGAGTCTCCCAGCTGTACAAGGCAAAGAAGAAGAAACTACAAAATTATATGCCACTGCTTAATCTTTTGAATCTCTCAGTTTGTATTATCTGTTACTAGACATGCCTGGATTAACAGAAAATTCCAGTCGGCACATATTAACTGATGTAGCCAACAAGACAAATGAGTACCCTAAGTTATAGATAATTCAGAAATTTTAAGGTTATGCAGTTGATTATTAAAAGTCAAGTATTAGCCAGCTTTGTGCGTATATAGGTACTTAGAAAATATTAAGGAGCCCTGGTGGCATAGTGGTGAAGTGCTCAGCTGCTAACTGAAAGGTTGGTGATTTGAACCCTCTAGCTGCTCCATGGGAGAAAGATGTGGCAGTCTGCTCCTGTAAAGATTACAGACTTGAAGACCCTATGGGGCAGTTCTACTCTGTCCTATGGCGTCACTACGAGTTGGAATTGACTCGATGGCAGTGGGTTTGGTTTTGGGCTTAGAATAAATATTCTGTTGCGTTAGCTTATTATGGTTAATTTTAAAATCAGATATGGCAATATCCTATTTAAATAGCAGAAAATGGTTTTAAAAAAAAAAAACTTCCACTACAAAAGTATGTTCTCACTTACACACTGAGCTGTTGTTTGTCTGAGGCTCCTTGTCACCGCCTTGGAGAAGTTTCATCCCATACACACCGGTGCATTTGTGAAATTTACGAGACAAGCAGCCATGTCAGACTGTGTATTATTCCTTGTCTCTCCATTCTCATGGAACAGAATCCAAACAAGCAGGAGCACCTGCCCCACTGAAGAATAACGTAGTCCCACAAACTTGATCCTAGAGTAGCAGCTTTAAGAATTCTTTCAGTAAGGGGTTGTGAGTGCTCTGAGTGAAAATCTTTTAGCCAAAGGCAATGTTTTGAGAGCTGTTTTGTCGTCATTTCTAAAGTAGTGAGATGTCCAGTAATCTTCAGTGGGCTGCGTATTTCCATACAATTTGGAAATCTCCTTCATCCCCACTCTAGTCCCCATGCAGTTTGCTGGCTCTTGTGAGCAGCCACTGCACTGCAGCAGCAGCCCTGGGGTTTGGTGAGCTGCAGTCTGTTAAGGAGATAAATAATGTGCTTGGCACGGCACTCCTACTCTCCTCTTTAATTTGTCTTACACGAGGAAAATTATAATTAAATCATTCAGGGTAAACCCTTGAGTGTAGAGAAGGGAAAAAACACACTTTTCTAAAGATTGCCAATAGAAACCCACCTCCCTGTTGCTCAGGGTAGAGACATTTATCAATATTCAGCACTATTACAGGAGGAGCGGCCTGTGTGATTTGTGAGGTGGGTGCCAAGGCTGGAATCGAGGCTTGTTAAGATCCTGCCCCTGTGCAATCACAGGCACTCAGCATCATTAGAATTCAGGACTGGCGCCACACTTCGTGCTCTGATTTTCTCCCGACAATTTAATAACGTTTATTGTACTGATTATATATAAATTCACTGACGCAATAAACGTACCTCTGTTGTCTGGGCCTGGGAGAAGCGTGGTGGGGAGAAGGTCCGTGGGCAGAAGCTAAAAGGAGCTGTAAGAGGAAGATAGCACTTCGATGTCTCTGACTGTCATTTCATTCCACAGGAGCAGGGAGTCTTGATTTCTTAGGTAGATAGACAAAACTGAAGCCTGGGATACCTGTAAATGTGAAGATATTATCTTGTTTTCTTAAGTCTTCATTTTAGGAAATCCCAAGTTTTGGTGTGGGTAAACAAAATCAACAGAGTGCAAATAAAACATTTATTAAAATGCTAAATTTAGTTAAGCCCTCTGAGCTTCTTGGATCAAAGCAGCTATGTAAATACAAATAGCAATTACTACTTAAGTAATTGCCTGAATTAAAATTCTAAATATCACATTCTGTTATGGTGCACTGGGGAAAGAGAAGGGAACTTACATGTAATCAGCTCCTTCTCTATGCCAAGCACTCGGCTAGACTCTTACGTACAGAGTGATGTCTCATTTTAATCCAGCTGATCTCCTGTGAAGCAGTAGGGAGTATTACACCCATTTTACAGATTAGGAAGCCGAGTCATAGAGGTTAAATAACTGACCTAGGTCATAGAACTGGTGAGAGAAATAGCCAAGATCCAAATTCCAGTCTGTCTTTTAGTTTATAAAATAGCTTATAAGTGAATACTTAATTATGATTAAGTTAAAGTCAGTACTCCTGAAAGAAAATTTTCATTTCAACGAAGCATTTATTGGATGAATCTACTGTGTGCAAACCATTGCATTTAAAAGAAGATGCAAGCGTTTCCATTTTTCAGGTGGATGCAAGTATTTACTAGCCTTTCAAGAAGGGGCGGGTGGAATTTGCAAAATAGAATCATTGACTGTCTGAGACATCACATAAAGAACAAAAATGAACCCCATGTAGAATTTGCAGAAGCCAAATGCAAAACAAGTCTCTCTCTCCTTTAAGTTTCCTCACTTTCCTTGCTGCTGTATAAACCTTGACTTTTCTCATTGAACACATCATATGGTCTTTATTCTTTTTCAGCTGCCTTCTGTAGTCCAAGTTAGTAGTATTCCTTTTTGTGATTCTTCACAGCTTTTTGCTTTAGTTTAACTACCACTGTTATTAGTTGCTGTCGAGTCAATTCTGACTCATGGCAACCTCATGTGTACAGA